TGGGGGGAAAAGCCGTTGTGCAGGGAGGTCATCATGCCGTGCTGAAGGTTCTGCGTCTGCTGATGCGCCCCGGGTTGCATGTTGCCTCTCATGGGGTTGTACTGGTTCTGGACCATGCCGTTCTGCAGCCTGGTGAGCCAGTCACACTGCCCGTTCAGCCCAGACGCCCCGCCAACAGAGAAACTCATTGGGGCATTGCTCATCACGGTGCTGGGGCTGGAGACCGGGAGGTGGGAGAGGCGCGGCGGCACCGCATCGAAGCCCATCCTGCTGGAGCTTCCCATGGCCATATCCTGCTTCCCCGCCATGTTGAGGTGATTGATGCTCATGTGGGCATCAGGCATGCCTGGCAGATGGTTCAGAGGCATGGAAGGGGACTGCTGAAACGGAGAGGTCATCAGCGGAGGAGAGGCGACATCCGACAGGTACCCATGGGGCGACTCCAGGGAGTCCACCGGAGACAACACACTGGAGTTGTCAAGCAGACATCCTTTTCCATCTTGTGACTTTTTCCTCCGGGCTTTGAGGTCTTTGGCATCCTTGCCATTGCAGCTCAGGCCCTTGGTACTCGGCTTCCTGGCCTTCTTGCCCTGCACGGCAGGCTTCAGGTTGCTGATGTAGCTGTTGGGCGAGCAGAGCGGTGGGGACAGCGTGGGTGCTCCCAGCGGGCCGTTGTGCAGCGGTGGGCTCCGCACCAGGTTGTACTCATCCAGCAGCCTCACGATGTCGTGGTGCATGCGCTCCTGCGCGATGTCCCGCGGGAGCCGGTCCATGTGGTCCGTGATGTCCCGGTTGGCAAAATGGTCCAGCAGGACCTTGGCGGTTTCGTAGCTCCCTTCTCTGGCTGCGAGGAACAGTGGGGTCTCCTCCTGGAAACCCAGCAAAGGTGGTTAGGTGTGAGTGCACAGATTCTCCTGGCTTAACACTATGCTGAGCTCCACGCCCAACACCATGTGGTTGGGAGGCAGAGATGGTCATTACCACCTTTCCTCCAGTGAGGTTCTGCTGCTGCTTTTTCCTACCCTGCTGAGCCACGTCCTTATACTGATATCAAACCCTATGAGTGACCCAGAACATGCAAGGAGATGGCCACACGAACACTGTTATCATACTGCTCACCAAGCACTGCATGGCCCCTCAACATCACCCGTAGGACCAAATCCCACAATGCTGCTTTGAGGGTGCTGAGGCGCTGGCACAGGGTGCCCAGAGAAGCTGTGGCTGCCCCATCCCTGGCAATGTTCAAGGCCAGGTTGGACACAGGGGCTTGGAGCAACCTGCTCTAGTGGAAGGTGTCCCTGCCCATGGCAGGGGGTTGGAACTGGATGAGCTTTAAGGCCCCTTCCAACCCAGACCAGTCTGGGATTCTGTGATTCTATGAAATCCAAGAGCTTCATTCACCCCAGAACAGTCAATTCAGTCTCAGTGACAGACAGTGATGTATTTTAAGCAAAAGACTACCATTCAGCAGACTTCCCAAATGGTTCTTTCCTTGCCTATGTCAGCCCAGGAGACTCCTACCTTATTGTTCTGCATATCCTTATTGGCACCATTCTTCAGGAGGACTACTGCAGCTTCAACATTGTTCACAGCAGCTGCCCAGTGCAGTGCTGACTTGCCTACAGAGGAAGACCACGAAATACAACACGCATTAGTGAGTAGTAAGAGTAACAGCAAGCAGTCCTCTCCTCCAACCTCTGAGGGAGCTTGTTTTAGATGCCCGCAGTACCTAGATCATCCACGGCATTGACGTCTGCATGGCAGTTGATGAGATCATCCAGCATGCCCTCCACAGCCAAGCGAGCAGCCAGGATCAGAGGAGTGGTCCCGTCATGCATTCGGGCATCGAGATCTGTTGCCCTGTTCCTTATCAGGATCTGCCACAAGAGCCAGAAACACAAACATTAGGAGGGACAGAGAGCTCCAGGTACCCACATCTCGGGGCCTGCGACACCCTTTCCAAGGGCTGATCTCTCCAGTTCCTGCTTGCAGTTTGCCCTGAGACCACTCAGCGACTCCAGTCTTCAAGACTTTCACCCACACCCTGTGATACCCTCAGTGTGCGACCGACTCAACGGGTAGCACCAGCGCTTCCCCCAGAAAACCCCGAGAAGAGGTGAGAGCATCAGTTACCTGGAAGACTCCCTGGGCATCGGCAGAGACGGCGGCGTGCAGGGGCGTCCTGCCCATGTTATCCTGGATGTTTGCATCGGCGCTGGCTTCCAGCAGGCGCTTGGCAGCGTCCGAGCGGGAGTACCGGGCAGCCAGGTGAAGCGCCGTCTCGCCGGTGCGGTCAGTCTGGTTGTGCAAGCTGGCGCCTTGGTAAATGAAGTCCGAGATGACGGCGGGAGCATCGTCCTCCTCTTCACTGTTGCCCGTCTCCAGCCCTCCTCCACTGCATGAGGCGATCATGAGCGGGGTGAAGCCATCTGAAAAGCGCAGGGGAACTCGGTGAATAAAGGCTTTTTACCCCATCAGCAAGATGCTCTGTCTGCAATAGATGCTTATTCTCAGGAGTGCATCAAGGCAAGTTCCTGACTGGTTTTAAACATCAAACACGAATATCCTTCTTCTGATACTGATCTGAAATTCCTTAGTGGTATCTCACTGCTTGCTGCTTTTCCTATTTCATCTGTCAGAGCTTGCACACTGTAACATGTAAGGTGCAATTTATATGGAAGGTTGCTCAAAGCAAACATGGGTATGGTACAGCACAGCCTTAAATATTTTCACTATTTCAAAGCACAGTTTCATGGACGTCAGAAAGACAAAATGTTTGTAATAACAGAAAAGCCCATGAACTATTGATATAGTTAAAAACCTAAAAAAGAAGATTGTGAAACATGCAGTTTGGTGGCAGGAGAGGAATCTAGGAGTGGCAGAGAGGTAAGCTGGATGATTTAATAGGTACTTCTTCTGTATTGCCTAATTTCCATCTCAGTGATTAAACAAGAGATCTCATGGAAAGTGAAACATGACCGGGTCCGTCTCTGAATCACGCACAACCATGCGATGCAGGACTGGCAGCGACTCAGTCCTAGCAATAGCGGTTGGGCTGCCTGGGACTGCTCATCGGCAATGGGTAAGGGAGGATTTCAGCTTAGCTGACAAGCAGCACAGAAAGGAAAGGAGTCACCTTACCAGGACCTCTGACATTGACGTCCATGCAGTCCGCATCGATCTCTCCCTGCGGTGGGGTAGGTGCCATGGAGGATATGCGCAGGTCTGCAGCATCCAGGTGCTGCTGGGTCCACTGCCTGTGATCCGTCTGGTCGTCTGTGTCAGGCAGCATCGCCTGCTCCTCGAACTGGGGAACGACAGTGGGAAGTGAGCATGGAGCAGAGCACACAAGGTGGGGGGGCAGGTCTGTGAGTCTCAAAGGTGTGTTTGTCGCACACAGGTTGCAAAGGAGCTGCCAGCAGCAACACACAGCACAGACCGGGCCTCTCAGGGTCTCCCTGCTCTGCTGCTTTCCACTACTATCTGCTCCTTCCATGGCAAAACCCAGGCAGTGACTACTTGCAGCACAGAAAGGGGACGTGGCAGTGAGCTTACCCTGAACTTCTTGGTGTCCAAGGTCTCCTCATCACCCCACTCATTTTGGTTGTCATCCATCAGCGTGCCATCTGAAGCATTTTTGAGGGGCCTTTAAATATAAAACCATACAAAAATTTAGCTCCTCTGCAGGCAGCACTCTCTGATGGGCTGTGTTCACCTACATGCACAAACTGAATGAAGAATCAAGAAAGGAATTTCCAGGTTTCCTCCTTTCATTTTTTACTGAGTGCAAATGGACCACGAAGCATTTAAAAACCTCCTCCAGGTGGGAACACTGTTTTCCCCAAGCAGAACTTTAAGAAACCTGGTTTTTCTCCTCCCCAGCACACCAATATGATGCCCTAAAGAACAAAACTCCGCTGGGTTCTTTCAGAAGAGCCCTGAGCAGCCCCGCTGCACTGTGTTCTAAAGGTTAGCAATCAAATTACTCACTTCAGTCCAACAGAATCCTCCCCAAGTGGTTCTCGTCGCTTCTTCTTGCTCGACTCTGTCACTTTGAAGCCTTCAGGGAACCAGAGCTGCCCATGCTCCCTGCGCCGCTTACGAGACACCAGTACTCCCACTCCGATGAAAGCAAGCAAGACCAGCACAGCCACCACCACCACGTACATAGGATACAGCTGGGAGTTCTTCGTGGGCTCGGCTGTTTCACCTACAGAACAGTGGGGCACAAAGAGATGCTGAGACATTAAGCTGCATAGCAAACCAGTGACCGAGTGGAAATGAAGGGAAAATTAGTTAATAGAGGTACCTAAGTCTGGTCTAAATCAGCCCCCCCAAAATAAGGTCATTTTATACGCTATTAATCAGAATTGCAAACCATCGGCAAATTCTCGGCTGCACAAGCCAGGCTGCACCAGGAGACAGCTTCACTTTTTTCTCCTTTAAGGAAAAGGATTAGTGAACTTCAAATCATTGCGCTCGCATTGAGCTGTTAAGACAAAAGGATTTAGGGGGGATTTTCAAGATACAAACTTCAACTCCTTGCATGTCATTGATTGATCGGAGCTGGTTGGGTTTTCTTTGCTTTTTCTTTTTTTTTATAACTTTTATAGTGATAATGATTTTGAAATAAACCTGGAATAAGCAAAAAAATAAACTGGTTTTGCAATTTTTTTAAGAACAGACTTAAAGAAGAAGACCCCAGAACAAGAAGGTGGTTAAAGCTAGATCAAATGCAGCCAGCTGGCAGGTAACTGAACGCGGGTGAGGCTGGGAAGTTTGGGCTGGCTCTCCTCCCCAGCTGACCAGCCGCACTTACTTTTAACAGCTTCTATTTTGTAGGGTATGTTCAGGTTGCCAAGGGAGGCCAAGGCCCCCAGGAATGCTGCCACATCAGTGGCGCTCTGGAAGCACTGGGAAGATGACTGGATGCACTGGCGGTTATCGATTTCCAAGTAGACGATGGATCTGTGTGAGAAGAGACAATGAGAGACACAGAGCAACGACCACACTGCACAGACAGTGAGCCCTGTCTCCCCTCTTTAACTTGCCATCAGTGGGAAGTAGAGGTGGGAACCCATCCCCTTGCTTCCCTGTGACCCAAGCCATGCAGCTCACACTCATGGTCTATTGGATTTGCCTCGATGAACGCTATGAAATCTAACTCCTTATCTACAGGAATGGAAGGGATTCTCTGCTTCACAACATTTTAAAACTACCCAGACACTACAGTAGCTTAAACAATGCTGTTTGGGAGCCTTCAGATCTTTCTGAAGACTCAGTTTCGCTGCTCTCCTTTGCTTTCAGTGGCTTTTGATTGAGCCCAGAGAGAGGGAGAAGGTTAGATCTGTATGTTTATACCGAAGATCTCCAAACACAGTTTGCAGTAATTGAGCTTTACAACAAAGCTCTAGAAAGCATTTCCCAGGGAGAAACTGAGGCTTAACTTAATGACTTCCTGAAGTCAGACAGGCGGTCAGGCCAACCTCTGCTTCCAGGTCCCACCCAGCCCAGCCCTGGCTCCCAACAATACACAGGGCTCCTTCAATCGTGAGAGTCGGCGCAGCATTGTACCAGGGATTCCTGAACGATCACTCGATTTTCCCACATGAGAGCAAAATCCGGTTTCTATTCACACAGAAAGCAACGTCTAAATACAATTATCTGACCTACATCCTTCCCTTTATAGCGTGTTACTATTATCAACACAGAAAACAAATGCTGCTCAGTGAAAAAGGAACCCACTGGTCCCCCTTACCCTCTGATGTCCATCTGATCGAGCTCCCTCTTCTGCCTTCTGCCAGCCCTGGAGTACAGGCTGCTCTTTACTTTGTTGATGACAGCGCTAGACATATCTGACCAGTCCTCTGTTGACCTCTTGATGTAATGCTTTTTCAGCTCCTCCTCATTGCCATAGTATGGAAAGATCATATACTCTCCCTTGGGGTTCTTCTTGAAGACCACGTTGGTGTGCAGGACACGGCTCAGCTCCCGCAGGAAGTTGAAAGAGTTGTTCTTCAGGTTCTCAGGAGTGATGAGGACCACCACCACCAGCGTGCCATCGGCAAGCTTCTCTGGCATGTTGTTTGCACAGTCCAAACCATCCCATTCACACTCGAAGTTATTGCAGCCCTGGTCACAGTGACCATCTGAGAAGTGATCTTTGCAGTACTGATCATACAGAGGGCTGGGTGGGAGAAAAAGAAAGGCAGAAGAGTGAATTAGACAAAGTACTGCAGAGAAAATAAGTGGTGATCCACAAGGACCTCTCTTTTGTGTAAACACTCTTCATTATGATGGACAGTAAGCCAGTTTTCACTGAAGGCAACTGTTCCCTGCAGCACTATGAAGTGTTCACCTCCGCAGGTGAAAGACAGCAGCTGTTAAATTACAAGTTTTAATTTAGATGCCAGAAAAAGGGACAAATTACTGTGACTCAGAGAAGACGTGGGGACACACAATAGTTATTCTGACCAGAGCTGGTCCAGGAATCTGGGATTAAGTTCCTGCTGTTGCCAAAGACAATGTTTGGTGAATGCCTGGATGTTAACATCATCATGTTTTCTGGCTGCTCTTCCATCTGGGGTCTCCCTGCACTGAAACTCACTGTGCTACTACTGTGAGTTGGAGAATTCACATCTATGGCATGATCCAGGCAAGGACAGGGAAGCCATCTGGAATGAGCTAAACCCAGAGAGCTTCCAAGTGTATATAAACTCAGTAAGACCACACGGAAGTGCAATTGCTTGAATTGCAGCCCCGCAGGCAGCAGAAGAGGACACAGAGAGTGAATAACAAGTCTGCACTTAGGAGATGATCTTAAGGTCCTTTCCAACCCCTAACTATTCTATGATTCTGTGTAACCAGAAAACACTCACAGAGGAGCAGCAGAGAGGTCATGGCTTTAAAACAAGAGGATTGATGAGCAAGTCACTTACTTGCACTGCCCTTCGTATTTCTGGCAGTCAAATCCATCATAGAGGCAGCCAGCGTTATTGCACTGGGAGTCACACTTGCCATCGTTGAAGTACTTCCAGCACTGCAGGGACTGGGAGCAGTTCTTCCAGGGGTCGTTGAAGTTGAGGGAGCAGTCGCCCCCATCCCAGCCACACGCATGGTTGTTGCATTTCCCATCGCAGATCTTGTTGCCGGCGTACCCCGTGCACACCGCGATCTCACACTTCTCCTCGATTTTGGGTGGGATGATGTCCTGCCCGATCCCGCCTTGGAAGTCGAAGTCGAGGATGTGGCAGTTGAGGCCGTTGAAGTTGGCGGGGCAGTTGCAGCGGTAGTAGGGGGAGGCATCGCTGAAGAACTCGCAGGTGCCACCGTTGTAGCAGGGGTTGGACGTGCAGGGGCTGCTGGCCGGGTACTGGCACTCAGGGCCCGTGAAGGCCGGCGCACACATGCACTTGGAGCTCTTGTGGATGGAGATGCAGGTGCCGCCGTTCAGGCAGTGCAGGTTCCCGCACGTGCGGGAGTCGTTCTCGCAAGTGGCACCCACGAATCCCTGGGGAGGTGACAGCAAGGAGGGAGTCAGGATCACTGGTACTGCCCTAACACATGTGTGTGTTCTGGGAAACTCGGCACAAACCCAGTGGATCAGGGCACGGCTCTGACATGTCCTCTGAAACCAGTGATAGGCAAGAATAATCTAGAACGTAAGCCCTGTTAGAGCATCCCCCTCAACACAAGGGGAGCTCTCCTCCATAGCTGCCTGCTCCACCTTTACATGGTACAAATAATGGTCAACCAAGCAAGACTCTGTCCTGCAGAGCATCATACCTGCAGGGCTGAGCCACCTCCTTCTCCCTAACCCAGCCTCCTTGCTAGTGAGGAGGATATGCACATATGGATACACCTCCCTCCAGTGAACACCACAGCAAAGCGTCTTCCCCTGCACGCTTATCCCTTGGCTATCACAGCCAGGGAAGCCTCAGGGACCAAACTGTCCCCTTGACAGCCCCTCTGTGCCAGGGGTTGACCCACAGGGCTGTGCAAACATCCCATGCTTGGAGCTGAAGAGGAGCAGGTACCTACCGGGGGGCACTTGCAGATGAAGCCACGGCCGGTGTTGCTGGCAACCGCGCACGTTCCACCGTTCCTGCAGGGTTTGCCTTTACAACCATCCACCACAGTGTCACAGCGACGGCCTGCCGAGGGAGAGGAGTGTGTGAGGAGCAGAGGAAGGCGTGCGGGGTGCGTGGGGCGGCTGCAGGCTGGGTGCTGGGCACGGGGAGGACGTGGTGCTCACCTGCGTAGCCAGGCCGGCACTCGCATTTGTAGTCATTGACCCGCTGCACGCAGTTCTGGGTGCCGCGGGCGTCGCAGGGGTTGGACAGGCACTCATTGACATCTCCCTCGCAGCGCTCCCCTACAAAGCCAGGGGGGCAGATGCAGCTGTAGCCACCTACCCGATCCGTGCACTTGCCATTGTTAAAGCACTTGGGCCCCAGGGTGACAGGATCAAAGAAAGGGCTGCAGTCATCCACATTGATCTCACAGTGCACCCCTAGAGAAATGGGGGAACAACCCACACAGCTCATCAAACAGTATCAGGGTGCCCGGTGGTCCCCTGTGTGAACCCTCCCTGCAAAGGGGCTGAGCCTGACCAAGTCAACGGCAGCCTGAGCCGCCGCTCTGGCAAGAGGCACCGCACAGCCCGCGTGGCCTTGATGGCTAAACCCACAGCAAACACAAACCTCCACCACTGCGTTTGCTTCTGCTAGCCCGAGCAGCTAATGAGCAGATACCGAGGATATCTGCACTCAACCCACTAATGCCCCAGCCTGGGGAGTTAATTTACCTTGAGTTCCTCTGGGGCAGGAGCATTTGTAGGTATTGATGAGATCGATGCAGGTTCCTCCATTCTGGCACGGGTGGGACAAGCACTCATTGATCTCCTCTGAGCAGTTAACTCCATGATAACCGGCCACACACTACAAGGAGGGAAGAGGGGAGCTATTAGAGGGGTTCCCTCAATTCCCGCATGGCTGCAGGAGCACAGCCTCCAATTGGGTAAGGGGGCACCAAACCCCTTGCGCAGCAGAGCAGCAGTAACTGGTGCATCTCCCTGTGGGTCTCTGCCCGCTGTGGCACCCACCTCGCAGGAGTAGCCTCCCAGGTAGTCTGTGCAGGTGGCTCCGTTCTGGCAGGGGTTGGGGGAGCACTCATCGACCTGCTCCTCGCAGTAGCTGCCAGTGTAGCCAGCCTGGCAGCGGCAGAAGTGAGTGTTGCCAGTGTCCACGCAGAGCCCCGAGTTCCTGCAGAGATGTGCTACGTCGATACCTGCCAGGGAGAGCAGAGTGAGACGTGGGGACCTCGGTGACAGCCACACACCACAGGGCCATGTCCTGACCACTGCGCACCCCACCAGGGATCGCAGCCGGGACTGCAGCCTCAGGGGTGCACGTTACAGCAATCCTTGAGATCACTTTGATTGTGCAAAGATCCCCACCAAGGGAATTGAGCATGTTACTGCTCAGAGCCCAGCATGGGGGGCACCCGAGGACCCCAGCCCTGGCCCAGTGAGGGACTTACCTTGCTGCTTAGCAGCCACCTCGCAGGAGACGCTGGGGACGTCGCAGTAGAGCCCTGTCCACCCGCTGTTGCACTCGCAGCGGTACAGGTTGTTGGTCTGCCAGCATTTGCCCCCATTTTTGCAGGGAGAGGAGTCACACCAACGCACCAGGTTCTGGGGGGAGCAGAGCAAGAGATGGGGGTCAGGACCCAGCAGGGCTTCTGCAGGAGCGGAGACTGCAGTGACCACCCACAGCCAGCATGCATGGATGGACACTGGGCTCAGCCCGAGGCTCCTCTACCTGGCAGTTGAGCCCGGTGTATCCCTGGGGGCAAGTGCACTTGTATGTCCCATAGCTGTCCTGGCACGTGCCCCCGTTCAGGCATGGCTTGGAGTCACACTCGTTGATGTCATGCTCACAGTAGCTGCCCGTGAAGCCGGGCAGACACACGCAGGTGAAGGTGTTGATGCCATCCACGCAGGTCCCGCCATTGAAGCAGGAGCTGGGAACACACACATCACATCCCAGTGAGCCACCACTGGTTCTGCTCCACACCAAAGCCCCACACACTGGCCCAGGGCTATGGGGCAGTGCAGGGACCTCAGCCCCTTGCTCCAGCCTGACAAAGGCTGTGCCCAGGCAGGAGCTGCCCTGGCTGTACCTCTCTGTGCAGTCAGGAGTGTTGTTCTCGCAGTGGATGCCACTGAAGCCGGAGGGACACGTGCAGGTGTAGCTGTTGACACAGTCGGTGCAGTTGGCACCGTTCTTGCAGGGGTTGCTGGCGCACTCGTTGATGTCCTCCTCACACTTGGGCCCACGGAAACCAGCCAGGCACTCGCAGAAGAACGTGCCGATGCCATCGGAGCAGGAGCCACCGTTGCGGCACGGATCTGGAGAGGAAGGTGAAATGGGTCCTGGGAGCTGCCCACAGCACTGTCCCCACACATATCCCCTCGCCATGCGGAGAGATGAGACAGAACCCATAGACCAGGCAGAGGCTGGGCCAGCCCCACAGTGGGAGCAGGCACATGGGACACGCTTGCTGCCTGCACGTCACTCTGCCCCCAACCTCCTTCCTGCCAGCTCCCACCTGGCTTTGGACTGACACAGCTCAACTGGATGTGCTTGAGGCGGCCCAAACACCCGATCAGGGCTTGCAGCATGGCCAGGGCTCGCCCATGCACATAGAGGAAGATCCCAGCCCCAGGAAGGATGGTGAAGCTGGGGCCAGGCTGAGCATGGTCCATGACCAGCCCCTGCTCTTACTGGACTTGCAGTCATCGATGTCAGTGTCGCAGTTGCGGCCGGGGGAGCCGGGCCGGCAGGGGCACGCTCTGCGGTAGCTCCCGTTGGTGTTCTGGCATGTGGCCCCGTTGCGGCAGGGGCTCTTCACGCACTCGTTGATGTCGATCTCGCAGGTCTGACCTGTGGGACACAGCGGGACAGGGACCATGAGGCGTGGAGGAGCTGGTGAAAGCCCCGAGGAGGATGAAGATGTCTTGGGCACTGCTCGTGCCAGCAAACTCCTTGCCAAGGGGTGCAGGTGATGGCCACATCCATGAGCCATGGGGTGGGTGAGGATGCGGCCCGAGGCCGGGCACTGTGCAGGGCTGATCCTGCCTGGCATTGCCTGCAGCTCCCTCCCCTCCACCTTTCACTCCCCAGGCAGCCAAGGAGAGCGGAGAACCCCATGTCTGAACCCCCAGACAGGCCATGCCCCTACCTTGCCAGCCAGGGGGGCAACTGCAGGAGAAGCTCTTGTAGTCCTCCGACTCCTGGCACTCGCCGCCGTTCTTGCAGGGGCTGCCAGCGCAGGGGGCCAGCACGTCCTCGCAGGTGGCTCCTGCACAGGCACAAGAACCCGCTGACACCCTCTCCAGAACAATGGGTGGCCCAAGACCCCACCACCCCTGTGCCCTGGGGCAGGCTCTGGGCTTCTCACCACCCCAGGGCAGCCCACATGGGGCCGTCTCCTCCCTCCCTGGTCCCCCCTGACAGAAACCTCGCGATGAATCCTTTAGCCCTGGCAATCTGGGCTGCATGAAAGCCCTGCACACTTCCTTTGGCAGGGAAGTGCTGCTCAGGGTGTCTGTTCCCCTTTTGCGCTCCCCCCCATCCCTCTCAGCCGCTTTTCCTGTTTACATCCAGGCAAGGGACACGTCCCCTCCAAACCCTTATCTTCACTGTCAGCCAATATCTCCTGAACTGGCCTTTGCTATTTTCCAGAGCCTTCCCCCCGTCCCCGTCCCCCCAGGGGTTTCTATGGCCACTGCCGAGGGCAGGAAACAGCTCATGGCTTCCTGCAACTTTGCTCCGGCTGGCGCTCGTGT